GAAATTAGAGACAAATAGTACATGACTAATCCTTTGCTAGTGCTTTTAATGTTCATTGTCCCTAGATAGGTAAAAAAAAAGGTAAAGGCCCTCCCGTTGTTCATCGATTTGCTCGAGCAGGCCCAGTAACGTCTCCAGCCCAGTAAGGGCTGGAGTGATAGCACAGTGGTAGGGCGTTTGCCTTGCATGCAGCCAACATGTCCCTAGATAATTGTTAGAAAACTGTGCCATATTTATTTTGATCTGAATGTGTACAAAGAAGGAAAGAAGGTCTATGGGTAACTCCTTTTGATTCTAAATTCTTTTATATAAAAATGCATATTTCAATGTTTCTGTTTTTTTTTCTTGATTAATAGTAGGGAACTAATGCATGAATACAAAAGTAATTTGAACTTTAGGTTAGTGTCTGTGTACTGCATATAGTACTGAGGATGTCACCATACCTGCCAATGCCCTGAACTGGAAAGAACCAGTCTCCAAAGATTAAAGTGAGCTTCTTCGACCCCCTATCATCTTCCTTTTTCAGGATGAATTCATCTTGTTGAAGCTTTGTTTCATGTTGTGACTCTGTGTTTAATAGCTTCTCTAGATCGTGGAAACTTGTATTTTTGCTTAATAGACTTATTGACTTTGGTCAGTGATGGAAAGGTTAGAAAAAGAAACTAATATGTCATGACAACAAACCGAAGAACAATTACTCTACATTTGCTGTATGTTAATAAAATTTGAAAGTAGCTGTTTATTCTGTTTGGATGGTTGGATAGTCTCTTTATCTAAGCCAACCATGAAAATAAAAACCGACTCACATTCCCAGAATTTAATGAATATAAGACACTTCTCTCAAATAAAAGAATATATAATTTTTAGATGTCCCACTTTTGTTCACTTTTCAATTTAGATTACTATAAATCTGTGTCTGGGAACAAATCTAAAATTTGTTTGAAAAAGAAACGGAATAAAATTGAGGCCAATCCGGAATTTCCAAAATTTCAAAATTGCTACAGCATCCAGCTAAGCAGCAGGGGGGGAAAAAGGATAAAAATGGAAGGGTTTACTCTAAGTTGTGTTAAAAAAAATCTAAGGAAGAAGCAAGAGAGACAGTGAGTAGTCCACACACCTCCCAACCTGGGCCCAACTTAACTGTCTACCTTTAACTTTTCTCTCTTTTCACTTTCTTGCGCACCCCCTCAAACCTCCTCTCAGTACCTGCATCACTTCCTGTATAACTCTCCTGCTCTCTGCCATTCTATATTCCCCCTTTCTCTCCTCTCTATTTCTTATTTATCCTTCAAGAGTAAGCTAAGTATACTGGGGGTGTGATCAAGTGGTAGAATAAATGACTTGTATATGTAAGCTCCTCCTAGGTTCAAATACCAGCAAGGCACGACCCCCACACCATGTGTGTGTGCCAGGTGTGGCTCCTGTGATAACAAGAAGAAAAACAATTGAAAAGTAATAATAATCAGTAGTCTCCTTCCTGGAGAAGTTATGGGTCACCCTACCATGTTATTCTGTTCTGTTCTTAAGTGCTTGGAGAACTCTTCACACACTGTTGTTAGCATTTGCCCTATTCACTTGGAATCATTTATGCTCAGGTCTTTCTCCTCCCATTACATGTTCAAGTCTATAAAGAACAGTGATTTTTTTTCATTCATTGTAAATATCAGTTATAGTCTCTGGCAAACAGTAGGATTGCAGTAAATTTGCATCTGAACCAAAACCAGAATGTGGTTTTCAGCTTTCTGCAATGGGATTTATAGTCAGGAGAAATCTTGACTTTTTTTTTTAAATTATCACATATGTCTTGACACTTTAAGTGGCTCTCAAGAAATAAACTATACCCAAGGGTATGACTATGTCACAAGAGCTACTTTATAAGTGTTTGTGTGTTTAAGACTAATTCTTTTATAAAAGCATTTCCCAAGATGAACCATGAGGCAATAATATTTAAGCTCATGCTCTTAGCCCTTTTCAGATTTGGATTGCATAATTTTGTTGAAATACTTGATAGGTCAGGAAATGAGTGAGTGCCGTAGAAAATATACTTAGAAAATTAGCAAAATATTGTAAGGAGAAGCATAAAAATTAAGTCTAATAAATCGAGGGTTGGAGAGAGATGAAATGGGTATATAACCAGTGAATGTTTGAAATTTACCTTACATGCAAGAAAAAAAATTAATGTGAACACCTACAAAAATTCATGGATTCGTAAGCTGACATTAAAGTATTGAAGGTTTTTTATGTGGATTTGGGGGCACAGTGGAGGTTTTCCAATAGTTATGCTTATATTAGACTTGGAATAACTTTACATTTCTATATAAAACTTGAACCTTCTTTTTGCCATTCGAATTTCTTCTTTGCGAAAGTTTCTGTTCATTTCCTCACCCCATTTTTTGATGGGGTTGGGTGATTTCTTCTTGTGGAGTTTAACCAGTACCTTGTATATCCTTGATATCAACCCCTTGTCGGATGTGTACTTGGTGAATATCCTTTCCCATTCTGTAGGCTGTCTTTGTATTTTGGTCACTGTTTCTTTGGAGGTGCAGAAGCTTCTTAGTTTAAGATAGTCCCATTTGTCTATCTCTGTTTTCACTTGCTCAGCCAGTGGCGTGACATCTTTGAAGATACCATTAGCTTCAATATCATGGAGAATTTTGCCGACTTTGTCTTCAATAAACATTATGGATTCTGGTCTGATGTTGAGGTCATAAATCCATTTTGATCTTACTTTTGTGCATGGTGTTAGGCAGAGATCTGAGCCCACTTTTTTGCATGTAGCCGTCCAATTTTGCCAGCACAGTTTGTTGAAGAGGCTTTCCCTGCTCCATTTCACTTTTCTTGCCCCCTTATCAAAAATTAGATGATTATATGTTTGGGAGGAAATGTCAGTATATTCAACTCTGTTCCATTGGTCTGCAGCTCTGCTTTTGTTCCAGTACCATGCTGTTTTAATTATTACTGCCTTGTAGTAGAGTTTGAAGTTAGGGAGGTTGATTCCTCCCATTTTCTTTTTCCCAAGAATTGCTTTAGCTATTCGAATGGCAAAAAGGCACATGAGAAAATGCTCTACATCACTAATCATCAGAGAGATGCAGATCAAAACCACAATGAGATATCATTTCACACCACAGAGACTGGCCCACATCCACAAGAACAAAAGCAACCGGTGCTGGCGCGGATGTGGCGAGAAAGGGACCCTCCTTCACTGCTGGTGGGAATGCCGGCTGGTCCAACCCTTTTGGAAAACAGTATGGACGACTCTCAAAAAATTAGAATTTGATCTGCCATTTGACCCAGCTATAGCACTCCTGGGAATATATCCCAGAGAGGCAAAAAGGTATAGTCAAAGTGACATCTGCAATTGTTTGTTCATTGCAGCACTCTTTACAATAGCCAGAATCTGGAAAAAACCTGAGTGCCCAAGAACAGATGACTGGTTAAAGAAACTTTGGTACATTTACACAATGGAGTACTATGTAGCTGTTAGAAAAGATGAAGTTATGAAATTTACATACAAGTGGTACTACATGGAAAGTATCATGTTAAGCGAAATGAGTCAGAAAGAGCGGGATAGACACAGAAAGATTGCATTCATCTGGGGAACATAAAGCAACAAAAAGTGAGAGTGACACACAGGAATGGCTGAGATTAGTACCAGGAATTTTGCCCCATGAATGGAAGGCCAGCCACAGGCTCTAGGTGAAAAGGAAGCTCAGATAGAGAAGAGATTACCAAATGAAGGGTGTTGTGAGGGCCCTCCCAGGGTGGGAGAAGCATGCTAAAAGTAGTCGATAGACCAAACATGATTGCCACTCAAAGCCTCTCTTGCAAAACACAGTACCCAAAAGAAGAGAGAGAGAACAAGGGGGAATACCCTGCCACAGAGGCAGGATGGGACGGGGGGGGGGGGGGATGAGGGGGGGGATGCTGGGACCCATGGGGATGGATGACGGGCACTGGTGGAGGTATGGGGACTTGATCATTGTATAACTGAAACCCAAGCACAAAATTTGTAAGCCTATAACTGTACCTCATGGTTTTTCACTAATAAAAAAAAAAAATATATAAAAAAAAAAAATAAAAAAATAAAACAATATATAAATATAAGAAAAATAGTAGAATGATGCTAGGTTTATAGAACAAGGGTTGAATCCTCTTGCTTGCTTTGTTGGCATCGTTAAGAATGGTTTTGCTTTAGAAAATTCTTTAAAAAAGTAAATAAAACAACAGCCTGGGTGACATATATTATTGGTAGAGATCACATGTAGCCCACAAAGTCTAAAATATTTACTCACAGGTCGTTAATAGAATAACTTTGCTGATCTGTAGCCTAACAGTGTCTAGGCTTAAATATACATACATATGTATATGTACACATATATATTGATATATTTGCATACATGTGTTTATATATATATATATATACATACAAATACTATTATGTAGTATTTGGAGACAAATCCAATATCATTTTTTTACTGCCTTTCCATTAAATAGAGCATACAATCAAAGTTGTGAAAAATAGGACTGGTGATGTGGCGCAATGATAAAGTGCAGGTTTTCATTCATGAAGTCTGGGTTTGATTCCTGATACCTTAAAGAAAAAAATCGTTCTTTCAAAAATTGTGAAAACACTTCTCAGTGACTGCAATTTACATTTAAATTAAAACGAATAAAATAGGTCTATAAATGTAAAAAAAAAAAAAAAAAAAAAAAAAAAACTTGAACCTTCTTAAATATTTGTTCACCACCAGCAAGATAGTAACAACTTCTTTCTGACTAAAGGAAATGATGATTTTTCATATTGAGATTGGAATGAGAACCTAAAATAATCTTTAATACCAGACAAAACAAGCTGTGCTGAATATTATTAAATATCTGAGGTGGACTTTAGTTGAGATGCCATTATTTAAAAGCTATCTCTTTTGGTTGTAGCTATTTAGAAGAGTGGGGTGGTAGAAATAGTATGATCTATAACTCTGATCTCTTCTCTTCTTTAGTGGGATTGGAAGAAACTGGCCCTGGGCTTCAGGAGGTAGTAGTATTTTGGCAGAATTTGGAACACTACATCTGGAGTTTATGCACTTGAGCCACTTATCAGGAAACCCTGTCTTTGCTGAAAAGGTGAGAATCTGTAGGATACACTGATTTGCAGAGCAGGCCTTGTGAGAAACAGTGCTCTCTCCCAAGAGACATAGTAATATCAGTGTGGAAAAGTTTACGATCAAGTTTAGTATGGTTCTGTATGAGTTTTGTTACCTGCAGCATTTCATTTCACCTAACTATAAACCCACAGATTTTTCATGGCACCATTCTCAGTATGAAAGCCCTGGGTTAAATATTTGTTTCTCTGCACCTCAAACAGATTACTTTTTCTCTTTATTTGCATTATCTAAAACACTACAGTGTTTGGCTAGAGTTCAGTCAGTAAAGTGCTCACATTGCATGCACCTAACCTAAGTTTGATCCCCAAAACCACAAATGGTCCCCCAAACTTCACCAGAAATATGTAAGCACGGACCCAGAAGTATACCCTGAGGACACCAGATGCAGCCCAAAGATCAGTTTTTACAAAGAAATAATAAAAACCTATACAGCATTGTATGGACTTTGAATCAAATATGTGAAAAACTTTTTAAAATTCAAAAGTGTATAAAAACAAATAACCCATTGAATTGATTATTGATTTTACGGAAACAGACCTACACCTATATTAACAGTTGTGTATTCTACCCACAACTCAGCCCTTTGCTTTCCTATTGGCTTCCCTTACAGCAAAACGCCTTGAAAGAATTGTCACTCTTGTCTTCTCCGTCTCACCTCCACTCTCTTGAGCAGGTTCCAGTTGGGCTTGAACACATTTGAGTCATAGTGATCAGTGGATGGCATGTTAACAGATCTGGCATTATTCTTATCACATCTTCCTTGTCCTCTTAACTAATGACACATTTCTTGCTCCATGAGATGTTCTATGTCTTGGCTGCAGAGACATCATGCTTCGTAGGTTTTGCTTCCTTTTGTACTTATTCTTTCTCAATCTATTTGATCCTCTTCCTCCAACTCCTAAATATTAGAAAATCCTGGCATTCAGACCTAGGATTGTTTTTTTATATTCACGTCCTACATTTATCAGTCTCAGGAGTTTACTTGTTTTCTCCTGTGTGTTCTCAACCCCAAAGGCAACTGTGTTCCAATAAGGCGTTCTCTAAATTAGCCTTTGCTCTAACATGAATAAACATAATCAAGAAAGAGTAAAGACTGATAGCAGCGATGGGTTTTTTGGAGGTTGATGGTAACATTTTGTTTTATGTTATAGGTAATGAATATTCGAAAAGTACTGAACAGTCTGGAAAAACCAGAAGGCCTTTATCCTAACTATCTGAACCCCAGTAGTGGACAGTGGGGTCAATGTAAGTCACAAGATTAGCATTGTCTAAATACTTGATGCTACCCAGCACTGCTTCTAGCAGCAGAGAAAAAGAGCAGAAAAGAGTACAGATGCACTTGCAGAAAATGTTTTTAGAAGTTCAAATGGGACATTGGTTGTTGTAAGAAACTGTGTTTTTAGAAAACTAAGAAAATTTAATTTTTCCTGCGTAAGGCTAGAATAGCACATTTAAAGCTCTTAATCAGAAGTGGAAATGTGTAATATGAGTATGTTAGCATTTAAGTGGCTACAAAGGAAACTGTTCCCTTTGTGCTGGTGACTCTCAGGGTTTTTCACAGAGTAGCTAGATCATTGTATGTAAGAATATTTTCTGTGTGCTTGTCTTTGAGATGTAGAGAAGCCTGAATCTCTTTACTTTGGGCATTGAAGAGCGAACAGGGTATTTTTCTACTTAATTACAGTCTAAACAGATAAGGATCTGATGCCAATAGATACCTTTATTTTTTTTTATTTTGGGCTCATACCCAACTGAGAAAATTTAATTTTTCCTGCGTAAGGCTAGAATAGCACATTTAAAGCTCTTAATCAGAAGTGGAAATGTGTAATATGAGTATGTTAGCATTTAAGTGGCTACAACTGTGCTCAGAGGCCACTCACGGCTCTGCACTCAGGAATTTCTCTGTGCTCAGGGGACTATATGGGATGCCGGGATTGAACCTGAGTTGGCCACGTGCAAGATAAATGCACTACCCACTGTAAACATTTACTGCAAGATAAATGTCCTACCCACTGTACTATCACTCAGGCCCCTGAGATAGATACCTTTGGAGTCGGAGAAAGCACTATGCCAGAAACCCTCACAAAGTACTTTGGTTGTGTGTGTAAAGATGCACAGAAGCTGAAAAAAAAAATGTTCTCAAGCAACTTTGCAAAAACTGTGGTAGATTAAACAGCCACTGAAGAGCAAGTGAATGGTAACAAAGACGCCTCACTGCCAAGCGGGTTAGCAGCGACCTAAAATTTTACTCTTCTTTGAGCTTTGTTATATTTAAATATATTCTTAGATAACTATGACTCACAGTTACTTTGGAAGTACTATTCTTAAGAATAATTTAATTTAAGGGCTGGAGATATAGTTCAGTGGTAGAACAGTTGTCCTGCATGTGTAAGACCCTGGGTTCTATCACCAACACCAGAAAAAAAAATAATAATAATAATGTATTTAAAAAACCAACAGTGAACTGTTTAGTTATTGATACCAGAAGATCTTAGTTAAGGTTGCCATTTCACCTAGGCTAAAAATGATCTACAGATAGCTGACATCCCTGAGGCCTTCACGGGTTCATAAGGTGAAAACTCTTTTTATAACAATGCTAAGACTTTATGTAATCATTTAAAGACTTTTCTGATGAGATTGGTGTGACATTAACAAATGAGGATTTTTAATATTATATAATAAAATGTGTCAACATTTGGAAGATCTGCATAATTCAATGAGCCAGTATTTTCCAAGTGACCAATGAATGCTGCTACAAAAACTGTGTGCAAAAAAGGTGTATGCAAAGTACAAGATAAACCAATTAATTTTTATTTAACATTATAAAAACTCATTGAGGTTATTCTTCATTATACTTCATAGCTAGTGCCCTCCAAAAACTCCAAAATAATATTTAAAAGCTATTAAAATATACTTAATGATTTTCAACTGTGTAACAATGTGAGACTGAATTTTCATATATTTCAGCACCCCTTCCTTAGCACTCCTGTCTCCTTTACTCACCTCCTTCTTCTCTTTACTATGGATGTGTTTCTATCATAGTCTTTCTCCCAGGATTTACATATATATATACCCATCTTCATTGAAATGTATTGAAATGTTTTCATGGAAATGACTTTGTCTTTTGTCTTTATCATAGTTATTCATCCTCACACATTGCATCTTGTACCTAGTAGTTGTTTACTAATTTTAACTTTGTGAATACTCACATATTCCTTATTCAGTTTATGTCTCTGTCTCTGCATTTAGTGCTGGTTCCATTTATTCTCTTTTAAGAGTTGTCCAGGCTCAATATCTGAGGGTTGAAAGTAGGTAAAGGAATACTCTTGATAACTTTCCAGTATCAATATTGCAAACCACAGTGCCCAAAAGGAGAGAGAGAGAGAGAGAGAGAGAGAGAGAGAGAGAGAGAGAGAGAGAGAGAGAGAAAGTAAAGCACATTCCATACATGCCATATAGGCAGGAAGGAGTGCAGGGTGGGATGTGATGGGAGGGAACCTGGGGACACTGGTGCTGGAAAATGTACACTGGTTGAGGGATGGGTGTTGAAATACTGTATGACTGACATCCAATCATGAACAGCCTTTTAAGGGTATATATCACAGTGATTCAAAAAAAAAAGTTTTAAACATAAAAATTGTCCAGGATCCTTAGTTGTGCCTGAGCAATTATGTGATCTTGGTCACTGATAAAACATAAAGATCTTGTGACTGTTGAAGCCTGATATGTGTGTGTGTGTGTGTGTGTGTGTGTGTGTGTATGTGTGTTGGAGAGGAGAGGGGAGGCCTGAGGGTCTATATCAGTGGACAGAACAGACATCACTCAACCATATGTTGTGGGGGAGGTATTAGCATTAGGAGATTCCTGTGGGGAGAAAAGTTTATGTTCAGTTAGTCTGCAAATATTTTTTAAATACATTACTATTTAATCTTTTTTGTTTTGATTCGCTTAGTATTATTATTGTCCTGTTTTCATGTTAAGAATTGTACTCCCATTGGGAGGGAAAATATCAATTATACCCTCTAGAGAAGAGAACAATATTTGAGTGGCTATACTACAATTACCTTCAAAACATTGGAGTGTGTGTGTGTGTGTGTATGTATGTGTGTATAGATATATAGATAGATAGATGTATATATATTCATATATATTCTTTACAAAATCATGCAGTCCTTTTCTGCTGATAAAAGCAGGCATGTTATCTCCTACATTCACTAATAAATTCACATAGTGTGTTTGTTGCCAACACAAACAATCATCCACACACAAGGAAAGTTTAGTGAGTGATACGCTAAATTATCACAAGGTCTTCTTTTCCTGTGTTCCTTTATTTTGGTTTTTAACAAATAAAAATATATAAGAGCAAGAAATAGAAAATTAACTTCCCAAATTAATTAAAGTGTGTGTATTATGCAATCCTTTCTCCCCCTCCAAATGCCCAAACATGCCTCTTCTATCTATTACAGAATCATAACTCAAGGGGGAGGAAAATAAAACTGCTCTGGCTGTTAGTTTTCAACTCTCATTGCTTTAACTCTGAAGGACATGTCTGGATCATAGCCATCATTTCCTTTTACTTCATTTAGTCTCTGTTATTTTGACAGTAACCGGACAGTGATTTGCTTTACTACTTTACTGTGTGTTGCTTGTGTTTGTCTTCTGCAATCATGGTTATAACAACAGAGCATATTATTGATGACATAGTACTTAGTCTGTTTAGGTTGTAAATGTCAAAGGTTTCTGTGATGACGTGTTTAAGAAACTGTAAAGGTCACCTCAAACACTGCTATTTTAAGAAGCAATCTTAGAATTTCAAAAATGGATTTGAAAACTAATTTAAAACATAAAAATGAAAATTAATTTTGGACTTTCTACATTAGAAACAGACATATTTTACGACTTAAAAATACAGATCTGGTGGTGGAAAATGGGCACTGGTGGAGGGATGGGTATCTGATCATTGTATAATTGAAACCAAAGCACAAAAAATTGTAAATCTACAACTTTAAAAAAAATAAAATAAAATAAAGGGGAAAAAAAAATACAGATCTTTGGTGTCTAGAGTGGGTAGGGCATTTTCCTTGCATGTGGCCGACCCAGGTTTGATTCCCAGCATCCCATATGGTCCCCCAAGCATCACCAAGAATAATTCCTGAGTTCATGAGCCAGGAGGAACCCTTTGTGCGTCGTTGGGTGTGACCCGAAAAGCAAAATATAGATAGATAGATAGATAGATAGATAGATAGATAGATAGATAGATATCTTTGGGCTGAAGAGATAGTACAGGGTTAAGGCACATGTCTAGTATGTGGTCACTCCAATTTGATCCCTAGCACTACAAGGTCCCCAAGCACTGAGCATTTCCTGGTGCAGCCCTTGAAGGCCTGAGCACTGCACAGGTGGCCCAGTCAATGCCTGGCACCACAGGATCCCATCAGCACTACAACCTTGGGCCCTCACATTAAGTTTCTACCTCCACTAGCCAAGAGTCACTGAGAAAGCCCCAACCACTTCTCCCCAATACAAATCTTCCAGCTTGAAAATATTTAGTCCTTATTAGGATTGACAAAGCACAGTTTGGCTGTGTTCATTTGTTTCCTGAGTACCTACACTGTGAGGGACCAATGTGAACTGGGAAGCAGCCTGGTCACTACCCTCTTGGATCATGGACTTGTAACAGGAGGATGAAAGAAACATTATATATAATATTTGAAGTGAAGTGAATGTGCACTGTGCAGAAGTGTACACTAGACATAGAGAGAAAAAGTAGAAGATAAGGTTGAGGAGGAAAAGGTGATACATTTACCAATTTAACTTTAGCTTCCCATGTATATCTATAATCAAAATTGTCTTCATAGCTGTAAGTCTATAAATATAGGCTTGTCTTTTAAAATAGACACATCAGGGCCAAAAGGTAGTACAGGGATTAAGATGCTTGCTTAACCAATACCAGTTTGATTCCCAGACTGTATATAGGTCCCCCCAACCCTGCCAGGAATAATCCCTGAGCACAGAGCCAAGAGTAAATCCTGAGAAGCATCAGATGTGGCCTAACTCCCCTAACCCCACAACAAAAGAACATCAAATTGGTTTTTAATTATAAAACTTAAAATTTTCAAAATAAACCTATCATGGGAAGAAGAAGGATTAAGGAATCTCCTGGGATGAAGATACCGTAATCCCTCCTGGGAGAAGACGCCCTAATCCCTTCTGGAATAAGAGAGTCTAAGCCTTCTTGGGAGACACAAATGAAAACAAAAACAAATGATCATCATCTTACTGCTCAAATTCTTCTTTTTTAAATTAATTTTTTCTAATTTTTTTATAAAGTAGTTCACTTTATTTGATTACATTTAATATTCAAATACCAATCCCACCACCATTACACCTTCCCACCACATTTCAGATGTTTCCATCCTGAACCCAATTCATACCACAAAGCAGAACCAAAATAATATATTTTGTATATTTGTTATAAAAAAAAACGCTTAAAATGCTACAAAGAGGTATCCTTAGAGGAAAGAGTGTGAAGATTGTTGTATTTCACCCAGGAACCAATAAGCCCTTCTTAAGAGATCACTAACGTGTTGTTAAAGGTTGAGTCTTGTGTGCTTTTATATATAGATCTGTAAAAGAGTATATTTCCCTCTAAGATTGGTTGCCTCCTACTTTGATGGTTCATATGTGATTTGGATATGGGTAGGGTATGTCTTATGAAGTGTACAGGAATAGGTTCACTTGTGAGTGAGGCTCTGCCAGATCGTGTGGAGAGTGGCAGTAAACATGTCAACAGTTGAGTTCTGGAGGTTTTCGGCTGCCGGTGCTGGGTCCCTTGGGGTGGGGATAACATTGAGTCGTCTCCGCCCCCTCCAAGGCACCCTGAATGAAACAGTCTGGTTGCGGGGTCCAGCAGCATGGTTTTGGCGCGTGTCATGTTGTGCTCCCTTCAGAGAGAGAACGACATGTGATCTGGATGAATGGTGGTCGATGACAAGATTATCCATGTTGTCCAGAGGTGGCTTCTGGGCATGACTACTGAGTTGCCAGAGACAGAAGGGGTGCGGTGGATACAGGCAGATGATCTCTCTGCTCCCAGTCCCATTGAACCCAGAGTTCTCAGTCACAAAGTTCAGCATACCTGGGATTTCCAGGGATTCACTCATAGATGAGGCCCAAATTCTTCTTAATTCTAGGAATGTCATGTCAGTTAGATTGCCTCTGTTTTTTTAGAGAAACATGCTTGAAAATTAAAAGTATTAATTCAAGCTGTAGGCAAAAGAATGCATTTAGTGTTAGTCAAAAGCAAGCAGATACATGGTGGGATTTGAGTGTGTTACAGAATTAAATGGCATGCACCAATGTTGCAGTCTCATTTGACTTCTCTGGGCTTCCACTTTCTCACTTGTAGTGAAGACACCCACCCTACAACTTGCAAGTTTGTGGTAATATATGTGGTGAATGGGTCATTAAAATATGATGAGAAAGAATTACTGGAATAAAGTATTATGGAGAAAACTCTTTCCTGTTTTCTAATCTTTAGTACTGTCTTCCAAAGGACTTTTTTTCCTTTGACTTGTTTTGGTTTTTGTGTCACATCCTGTAATGCTAAGGGGCTGTTCTGACTCTGTGCTCAGGAGTAAACCCTGGCAGTGCTCAGGAGACTTAATGCATGTGGTGGTGGGGACTCAAACCAAATCAGTAGAATGCAGTGTGAAAACCTTAACCACAGTACTGTCTCTCTAAGGATTTTATTTATTTATTTATATTTTGAATCACCATGAGATACAGTTACAAAGCTTTCATGTTTGAGTTTCAGCCATACAATAATCAAACACCCATCCCTCCACCAGTGTACATTTTCTACCACCAATGTCCTCGGTATCCCTCCTCCCCCATCTCCCCACTCCCCATGCCTCTATGGGAGTCAGTTTCTCTCTTACTCTCTCTCTGCTTTGGGGCATTACACTCAAAGGATTTTTATCCTTCAAGTTACAACACTGGAAAGACTTCATGTTATAACAATGAAAAAGATATCAGATAATCATTATTGGAGGAAAAGAGAAATAACTTCAACAAATTGATAAGCTTTTTGTTTCATTGCAAGATACTTTCAAAAATATTTCTAATGTCTTCAACATAACATTTCTATTATTAATATTTAAATCAGTAAAAGATTAAATATATAATAGAAATATTTTATGTTGGTATTTGTACTAATGAACTAGACTTTTAATTAGGCATAATTATATATGTTTTATCCTCATGTTTGCAAAACTAACCCTGGTAATTATTTAGAGTATATTATATTACTTAATAGTACATCTGCTTATTTCAGAAGAATCTTGCTAAAAACAAGGGATTGGTAAAAATTTAAGTATAACATTGAGTTGTTTTAGTATTAACATTGAGTTGTCTCCGACATCCTAGTTGCTGAAGTGATTTTGCTGCAATACCTGAATTAAAGACTTTATCACTTTCAGATTCATTTTCCTCTCTTTACAGATCATGTGTCTGTTGGAGGACTTGGCGACAGCTTTTATGAATATTTGCTAAAGGCATGGTTAATGTCTGACAAAACAGATCTAGAAGCTAAGAAGATGTATTTTGATGCTGTTAAGGTAAACTCAATAGTTTATCATCTTTGCCACTAAGCTCTAACATACGAGTTAATCAAGCTTTAATGAGTCAAGAGTTAACTAATAAAGTTTTAATGGATGAATAAGCTATATGAAGGGCTAAATGAGGGGATAGAGAGATAGCACAGGAAATAAGGTGCTTTCCTTGCATTCAGTCAACCCTGTTCAATCTCTGGTGCTATGTGTAGTCTCCCAAGCATTGCCAGCTGTAATCTCTGAATACATTTTCATACAGAGCAAGAAGCCCTGAACACCACCAGGTATGGCCAACCTTCCACTCTCCCCAAAATAGATTCATGTATCTGAAAAATAAGTGTTTTTCTGCAGTGAGTAAGTGCTTGCCACCTAAAGTTACAATTAAAATTATGGAGGGGGGGGTTGGATATGCTGAATGTGTATGCTGAAAATTTACTTAATGAAAATTACTGGAGATTATAGGCTGATCTAGTAGTTACCTCTATTACAGTTTTCTCTTTACCTTTTATTTCCCTTCTAATTAAGAATATACACTATTTCTCTTTGGTTTCTTCACACAAAAGTTATACTGCTTTCTATAAATAAAAAGAAATAAGATTTTCTGAGAAACAATAAATTGGGAGAGGAACAGAATTTCTACCTATTCACATCTCCTGGAGCCAAGTCAAAGACTGGCCTATAGCTCTTCTCTTGATTTTGATCTCAGCTGAAACCCAGAAAAGAAGGTTCTGTGTGATGCCTGAGGAAAATGCCTAAGAACAGTGAATGTCATCATCCTCTGCTCAGAGCTGGGTTAGATCCAAAGCACCACTGGGCAATCAGTATATGAAAATACTGGGAAAGCTATATATAAAAATCTGAACTAACAAAGCCAGTTTTTATTGGAGGGTCATTCATTTTTTTCAAAGATCCTTTATAATGCAAGAATAAAAGGAAACACATATTTGTGACTTGTATAGTGTTTGATAATTAGTGTGTTGGGTAGATACTTTGCCACTCAACTCTAACATATGCAAGTTAATCAAGCATTAATGAGTTAATCAAGAGTTAACTAATAAAACTTTAATGGACGAATAAAATATATGATGGCTACATGAGGAGACAGAGAGATGGCACAGGAGATGAGGTACTTTCTTTGCATGCAGCCAACCCTGTTCAACACCTAACTTCCCAATAGGTGATGCTTACCCAGTTTTATGCAGATAAGAGAAATGAACCTCAGAGACATAAAATGTAGAGCCAAAATTCATACTAAAATTTGTATCAACATCTATCCCTTTTTATATCACTGCTACAGATTTATTTGTGAATAAAAATTTCAAGCTACATATAAATGTTTATTTGTAGTCAGTAAGTTAGTTAGATAAATTAGGAGCAATCTATCCAAGCCTCTATGAGAAACCAGTGTAGGAATCAACACACTGATGCAAATGCATACCACCAGTGGCTCACACTTGGGTACAGCATAACACAAATTGCAGCGCTGGCATCGTGTTTCAAACCTCTATCAAAAACTAAAATTAAAAATTAAAGTTAAAATGAATTATTTTATTTAAAAGACTAGTACTTAATTTCCAGTTTTTTATAACAAAAATTTTAGAAGAATCAAAAATCATTGTGTTTGCTGTGTCTTATATGTAGCTTATTTTTAATATTTTTGAGAAAACACCTCAAATAATGTTATGCAATCATAAGAAAATTTTTACATTTCCATTGCCCATTGCCCTCTTAGAATTTTTTCTGTAATTCAGAGTAGTGATTTATAGAGGGAAATGGAAATTTGTAGTTACTAAGTGTGGCATCATTCTAAGACTTGTCTTAGAGGAGGTTTGGATGATTTTGACATTGGCCAATGTTTTTGTTTGTTGAGGGCTTTTTTGTGGTTTGGGTGGGGGGTTGCTCAGGAGGCCTGGGGGTATATCAATATAAAGGCCTTAGGACTCAGTACTTTTTAACCCTTTGTTTCCAGTGATTACCTGGACCCTGGTACTTGGGCAGCCTCCAGGGTACACCCAACAATGCTTAGGGGACCCTGTGGTACTGTGGACCAAACCGAGGTCAGCTACATGCAAAGCCTGTCCATTAACCCATGTACTACCTCTGGCCTCTAACTATCTTGCTTGGTTTGGGTTGGCAAAGTTAAAAAATGTAAACTTATGCTTTTGGGGAGGGGTTGCTTTTTGTTTTGTTTTTAGTTTTGTTTTTGTTTTTGTTCTTGTTTGGGGCCACACCAGGCTGTACTCAGAGGTTATTCCTGGCAAGGCTTAGGGGACCATATGTAATGCCAGGAATCAAATCCATGTCAGCCATGTGCCCTACCTGCTGTCCTATCACTTGGCCCTAAACTTATGATTTTGAGAAGTAACAGTATCTTACAAAGCAAAGTTTCTCTCTGCTATGTTGTACTTGAAAATATCACTATTATTAAGTAAAAAATCCTTTACATTGTTCTAAACAGTCAAATTACCAGAGATAATTTTTTTAGAAGACATTCAATTTTAGTGGCTTAGTTTCTTTGGTCGTTTGTTTTGTTTGGGGCTCATGTTCAGTGGTTCTCAGCGTTTAACTCCTGACTGCACTGAGTGGTCACCTGTGGCGGGTCTCAGGGAAGCATATGGGTGCTGGGAATCAAACCATATGGGTGCAGGTCAGTCAACTGCAATGTAAGCAACTTACCTGCTGTACTATCTCTCCAGCACTTCTGTGGTTATTTTAATAACAAAATACCTTGAGGTCTTAACTGGCAATTATGGCCTTATCTGGTTGCTCACCTTGCCAGAGGTTCATTGGAGCGAATTGTTCCCAGTCAGCCAATACTTTAGACATTGAGGATTCTGAAGGCTTCATGAAATTAATTTTGTTTAAATATATGTACATGAAATCACAAAATATTCAACACTTCTTTTCTAGTAAGTTTTCTATTGACACATTTTTAGAATCAATAAGGACTACTTTTTCCTTATTATATTTATTTATATTTTCCTCTTGTCACATAACCATTGCTTTGAAGGTCTTAGGATTTGATTGTAGTTTATTTTGAGAGGAAGCTACTTGGTCAGAATCCTGCCAAAAATAATACAGTACTTTAGTCAGGATCTGTAACAGGGCAATAATATTTCTCTAATCCATGCTTGAAAGCTATTTCTCTTGCCATGTAGAAAGAATAATTTCTTGGGTGATGAACAAATATCTGCTTGAAGGACTTTATTGCAGTTTCTGCTACGAGAAGTGTAAATAGCTAAAATTTTCAGTTGGATTTAATAAGAATGAAATATTAATGTAATAATCATCAATAAAATTAGCTTAACCACAGTTAATGAGCACAGTAGTGTGTTCATTTATTTCTTAGCTTCACAATTTCATTTGTTTGTTTCAAGTAAAGGTGGGAGAGGTTTCCTCTGTCTTGTGTTCATTCTTTTTTCCCTTTTATTGAAATGACATTTTAACAACAGAACCAGTAGTATTGCCTTATACACGGATGCTGCTGCACCTTGCCCATCCCCAGAGTGCCTGGACCCCACCACTGTTATTCCCATGATCTCCTAATTTCATGAGACTCAACCCTGCCTTGCTTTTCTTTTTATTCATTCATTCTCTTTTACCAGTTCTGACTGTTTAGTATTCCCAGATAAGTTTCCTCAAAACCCTCTTTTTTTGGTAGTAATATAGTTGGTATAGACAATCACTGTTTCTTCGATTAGTAGTTGAAGAGAGTGAAACATATTCCAATAAAATGTCAGAATTCCCAAGTGTTCATGAGTTCTTATGTTTTCTTTCTTTCTTTTCTTTCTTTCTTTATTTATTTTTCTTTTTTTCTTTCTTTCTTTCTTGCTTCCTTGCTTCCTTCCTTCTTCATTTCTTTTTTTCCTTCTTTTTTTCTTCTTTCATTGGGGCAACAGTGAGTTAGGGATCACTTCTAGTAGTGCTCGGGGAATCATATGCAGTGCTGGGGATTGAGTGTGAGTTAGCAATGTCTATGTGCAAAGCATATACCTCACCTGCTGGGTATAGCTCTGACCCCCAAGTTCATTCTTTTCTTTTCTTTTCTTACTTTAAAAACATCATCAATAGTCCTGGAACATAAATACTGGTGTTTTATATGTCATCTTTGGTATACATTATTTTTCTTCCCAAATTTTGCGTACTTTTTAAAAAATATATTCACCTGTAATACAGTTATTTAGAAGGAACTTAATTCTCCATTGTTACCATGACGGTGGAAATCTGGCCTTTATCAATGTGCTAGACATAGTAGTGACTGCTTTTTTAAGTAAAAGATTACAGACTTCTCTGAGTAGATGCTACTCTTTCCATATTTTAGATTAGGATAAATGTGGTTTAAGGATACATTAAGCATATTACCTACAAAATTCCCAGAGAGTAAATATCAGAGCCAGACTCATGTCAAGAAATCTAACTCCAGAACAAAAAGTCTTTTTTCTCTCTTTTGCTCCTGCCAGAGCCTCAGAGAACAGAAGGAAGGATCACATACCCCTATGCTCTATTCTTCATCCTTAGTAAGGTTTGTGCTGTATGTTGTCCCTTCATTTGTGACTATGGGACTATGCTGAACCAGCTTCACTGTGTCAATGACCTGACTGACAAGGGAAAAGTAATTTTGGATATTAAGGCTGTACTTGGTCATGGAACCAAAGCACAGACAACAAGGCTGGCCCTACAGCAATAACTCTAGCTAGCCAAAGTCAAAGGTCTAGAAAGGGACAGAAAGCAGAAACATATATTTTCCTTTTTTTAGGTAGATTTGGCATTCTAGTAAAAAAGTCAAATTGTAAGTCAAGTTTTTTTCTTGGGTTTTTAATATTGGGGGTATTTTTACCATTCATTTGAGACAATATTTAAATAACTTAAATATAATCTCTCTCTCTTTTTTTCAGGCAATTGAGACTCACTTGATCCGCAAGTCTAGCACAGGACTGACTTATATCGCAGAGTGGAAAGGGGGCCTCCTGGAACACAAGATGGGCCACCTGACCTGCTTTGCAGGAGGCATGTTTGCTCTCGGAGCAGATGATGCTCCCAAAGACCTTACCCAACACTACCTTCAGCTCGGGGCTGAAATCGCCCGTACCTGTCATGAGTCTTATAATCGCACGGGTGAGCATATGTGAATCTACATTTACCCTCTAGTCCTACATGCTTCTGTTTCCTTCAAAAAGGAACTTGATCATTGCTGCCATCCAGAGAACATCTACATGCTAATGAAGTGATCCTGATTCATATCTTAAAGGGCCTTGTAATTTTTAGTTTAAGAAGCACTGCTTTTCTACTCAAAATTAACCATCCCAACATGGTATCTTAATAAAGAAATCAAATATAACAAACCTTGCTTTGACAAAAAGTGAAAATCTAGGGGTTGGAGAGATAGGACAGGAGGTAAGGCACATACCTGGCATGTGACCAATACTGGTTCAGCCCCTGAAACCCTATATAGTCTCCCTAGTACCACCAAGGGTGACCCCTGAGTTCAGAGCCAGAAGCCCTGAGTACTGCTGGTTATGGCCCAAAAACAACAATAACAAAAAGGTAATTGTTAGTAAAATAAAACTCCAGTCCCTAATGGAAGTGAGTAGTTGAAGTCAGTGACTCTAAGTTATTGAAATAAACAGCACTGGGTAAGGGTTTCTGTTCTGGTACAAAAGAAACTTGTTACATTCTAAACCATCATTAATTTTCCCAGTATCCTCGTAAAATATATTATGACTCTTGCATCTTTTCTGAAGTCATAGATTCATTCGAGTCATAGATAATGAGCATTGTCTCAGACAATAAATAAATCTTTTCCCATATTTCATGTCTTTCAGTAATGAAACTGGGACCAGAAGCTTTCAGATTCGATGGTGGTGTTGAAGCCATTGCCACAAGACAAAATGAAAAGTACTACATCCTACGTCCAGAGGTGATTGAGACTTACATGTACATGTGGCGACTGACTCATGATCCAAAGTACAGGAAATGGGCCTGGGAAGCTGTAGAGGTAAGGTTTAATTTGCTTTCACTTCCTAGAGATAAGTGTCTGTAGAAGTAATATTCAGTGATAGCTATAACACTGGCATTTCAGTTTTGTATAGTTTTGATGAAGTTTTGGCTGAATTTGTTCCATTCGAATTCATAGTTTTATATTCCTGCCATCAGCTTTGCTTTGTGTAACAATGGAATAAATATACCTACTAGTGAATTTTGGTTTTGATTTTCAAGGAGAAATCTGGAAAGGTCTATTATGAAATGAAGTTCCAATGACCATAAAAATGATGATCACTTAATTCCATAATGGCTTACTAGTAACACAGGAATATATACACCAGTCTTTATTTTAAGAAACTGCTTTAAGGTGCTGTTATATTAAACTGTGAGCATTGAATTCATGTTGTATGATTATGCTTAAAATAAAATACTTAGATAAGGGTTTCAGAAAGATGCTATAGAAGGACTCATCACTAGACTCAGATTTTTCTAAATATCTCCAACTTTCCCATCTTTAAAATGTATTGTTTTAATTCTCTCTGTCACCTCCTGAGTCTTCCTGCCAAATTTAGCGTATTATCTTTCCAATCTTATTGAACACTTTGTGCACTGGATGCTAACATGACCCCTTTCAGGAAATACATCAAACAATGTCTAAATTTTTTAAACTGTTATTCTGAAAGGAGTGGGAGGGAAATCAGGGGGGAAAGAACAGGCAAACATTTTAATTACACTCTTATTCTCTAGTATTCTTTGTTAAAAAGTTAGCTATCTTTAAAAACCATCCATTAGGAATCACTTCTCTTGGGAAATCTAAAATGAACATTGCCTTTGTGTACAATTGATATTATATCTTTAGAAACTTTTGATGAATCTTGCTTATTATTCTCTTCATTTGGTGTTCATCTTATTGCCAATCTTCAGTCATTTTAAGTAATAGCAATTCTTTACGCTTTTTTTGCTAAGTTTTCTAATATATTTAGTCAGAATTCTAATTTCTCTCAATGCCTATTTCTTTCTGAAAATATGAAAACTGGGACTCATTTAAGCTTTGGATAAGGTCTGGTCTTCAATAGACCAGTAAAGGAAGTGAGGCCTCTTACAAATACTGGTTTAAGTCAAAAATAGTGGGAATCATATTAAATCTAAAACGTGTTTGTAAGAAAAACAATTATTACATATCACTACCCTATAAAAATACAGAATTGCCAATTAAGTTATAATATGACAATTTAAGAAACATGAAACCATGTAACAGAGACTTAACTGTGATGACAAGACTTGATCATATGTCAAAAATGAAAAGTAAGGCTAGGGAGATGGCTCAAAGGGCTGGAGCACATGACTGGCAGATGGAAGGCCTGACTTTCATCCCCAGCACCACACAGTCCCCTGAGCTCATAATGGCCCCCATACCTCCCTATGCATGGCCCCAAATACCTGTTCCCAAAAGAGTAAACAGTAAATCTGTTGCCATGTGGATAATTACCTTTGGTTTGCTTGGTTCTTCCAAGGTCTTTGTGGGATGACAAGTTTGGTATTATATGTTAAAATTTTTCTCTATTGTTCACTCTTAGTGGCTTGAGAGATGAAATTGTTTTCTTGTGTGATAGGAGCCCCTGTTTTTGTCACAAGTAATTTCTGTTTGGACTTGAGATAGAGTGGAGAGGGAAGGGCAGGGACTGTCAGCAACCTGTGATTGAGAAGGTGTGTGGAACCCTGTATCCCTCGCATCACAGCCCCTCTTATTTGTTGCCCATGAATGCTGGCAGTGTCATTCCAGGGACCTCTGCAGCTCTGCTTTTGTTCGGCTCAAGCTTCTTACCAGGCAATGGTCTGGGAAGTGTAGGACAGTTCGTGGACCCAGGGACCACCAGCACTCAGGGACTGGGGATTGATAGATCACTGTCCCAGTCTTCTGTCTTTGGAGAACAGTTCATGATGCCTCCAAACCAGAGGGTCTTCAGCAGGCATGTGCTCCATGGCTCACAGCGCCAATCCCCCCAGGCTTATGTTCCTAGCTCCTCCCTTCAAAGGCTCACTCACCCTGATTCCTAGTTTCCTGTTGTTACCACACAAAAACAGTTCCTGAATCCAAGCCTTGCCTCATTCTCTGTTTTCAATGTGTGCCAAACTAAAATAGGAGGGATCTTAAAAATCAAAGAATGCTCACTATCTTTTTGCCAGATGACTAATCACATCTGTTAAAGGATTTGGAAGCATAAAGGAATTCATTCCAGTTTTTGATGCCTGCAAGTGTTAGAAAAGTACTCCTTTTGACACCAGAATTTATGGTGTTTTGAACTCCGGGGACATCAGGCAGAGAGTCCCCTCTGTTTCTTGTATTGCATCTTCCCCATTATCTGAGAACAGTGCATGCTGCTAGCTCTTCCCTTTTCACCTGTTAGTTCCCTCTACCTTCATACAACAGGTATTCAGCACTGTGGCATTCAGGACTAAGCAGTGTGACTTCACAGCTGCTGTTCCAAGTGTTTTTTCCACAGCCAATAGATCATATTTCAGTTCATAAAACTATTAACTTACATTGAGATTCTGGTCCAACATTTCTAGTTCCTATGTTAGTTACCCCTGAGACAGGTTTTTGTTCCATATGTATCTGTACCTGTAGTTTATAAAGTACGCCAGCTGTCTTTCCTATGCCCTTCCCAGACTTTTTCATGATATACTTGACAAGCTTGCTTTCCACTCTGAATTTTATACTAATGATATCCAACAAGATATGAAAGTACATAACCAAGGAGTCCAGCTTGAGACTTGTTCCACAGACTGCTAGCAATCCGTTAACCACCAGTGTTCCAGCAATTATGAATCTATGTGACAGAAAATACATCTATCTTCTGTTCTTTCGCTTTTTCAAAATAATGCCATTTTGAACTTTATTGCATTTCACCATATTAAGTATAATTAACAGTCTATAAAATTCATATTATATAAGTTGGACTTAAGCATTCATATATAGATAGGTTAATGCAAACAATATGTTGTCTATAAATGTATGAATAATTATATACTGCCTCAATATGTGCATGGTAGAGGTTAAATCTTGTAAAGGGATTTTTTTGTTTTTTTCTTTCTCTTTTAATATCTGATGTTCTGGTTCTTGGTAATTTTTTCTCTGTTCCTGTTCTCACTGCTCAGCCTTGGTTAATCCCTATTTCCAAACTATTTTTGATATGATCATTTTGCCTGAATTCCTATGTTCAACCATGTAGGTCAGATCAAACTCAACCAGCTTGTAAATTCTTTGTCTTTGTTCCTGTTATCCACTCTTAGAAATTTTTGTGCATCAGCAGTTTATCTAAACTTATAGATATGTGTAAGATAACATTGCCTTTGTCCTTTCTCCCTTGCCACAAGGAGCTTATGTTTATCGGGTCACACCCATTAAAGTGCTCCTGAGTCACTCCCTTCTTTTGTTTATCTATAACCACTTCTCTTGCTCTCTTCCCCAAACAGTTAATCAGCTTTTTCCCCTAATCAGATTCTGTTCATTTGTAAGGTCAGATCTTTGTAGGACACTGAACTTGTATTGTAAGTTAATATTGCCTTTCTCCTCTCCTTATGTCTTTTGAATAGTTTACTTTAAAGCAATGTCCTTTTGTATAGACACAAGAAGACAATAAATATTATGCTTTTGTAACTTGGTATTTAATTGGCTTCAAATATTACTCATTCCTGGGCATCTGCTTTCTCAACTTAAGCCTCAGTTGCCCTCACTTCCTAGCGCCCCCCAAAGCAGGGTCCTGATGAGGGACTAGACTAATCTGGCACTGACTCTGGATCTGATCTCGATCTCCCCCCGCACACACACACACACACACACAGCCCACTCTTATAGTCTAGTTAAATCCCCAAACCATGAGGGGCTGGGCTTAAATATAGGTGTGGTCACAATCAATAGGGGTAAAGTTCTTTCCCTCAGAGGATGCTAATTCTAAGACAGATTCTCTTTCAGCAGGATGACCCACCCAAGGATGAAATCCCATGGATGTGTTTCTCCTCTCCCTGTCCAACAAACATATAAGCATTCATAATAGTAATCATTTGTATGGACACAGTAAGAGATGCATTAAGCTTATAGAATTGCTCTTCTGGGGTCATCTCAATCTCAGACTACAGTGCTCTGGCCAGATTAGTCTTCCCTATCCCTAGCAGGATCTGAATCTAATTATTACTTTTTGGATTATGACCACATTTGTCCATGACCAAGCTCTTAACTTATAGTTAAGAATTGTGGTGCTTTAGCCAGGCCCATCTTGATGCCAGGGTAGCACATAGCTTACCGCTTACCCTGGTTCCATCTGGTCCCTCATCAGGACCCTGCTTTTGGGGGCGCTAGGAAGTGAGGGCAACTGAGGCTTAAGTTGAGAAAGCAGATGCCCAGGAATGAGTAATATTTGAAGCCAATTAAATACCAAGTTACAAAAGCATAATATTTATTGTCTTCTTGTGTCTATACAAAAGGACATTGCTTTAAAGTAAACTATTCAAAAGACATAAGGAGAGGAGAAAGGCAATATTAACTTACAGTACAAGTTCAGTGTCCTACAAAGATCTGACCTTACAAATGAACAGAATCTGATTAGGGGAAAAAGCTGATTAACTGTTTGGGGAAGAGAGCAAGAGAAGTGATTATAGATAAACAAAAGAAGGGAGTGACTCAGGAGCACTTTGATGGGTGTGACCCGATAAACCTAAGCTCCTTGTGGCAAGGGAGAAAGGACAAAGCAATGTTATCCTACAGGTATGAAGACCTTTTTCTCATCACTGAAATGCTTCTTGACTTGAACATGAGCTCTTGCCACTCACTGTTCTCTTACCTTCTTCTCCCCACAAGACAAGTACAATCACTTCATGTCAGGTTTGCTTTTTTCTCTCCAGTCACTTAAATATTTTATTGTCTCCCTTCTCTCTGCTCTTAGCACATCCCAGTCATATATGGTTACTAGTTATATTAAGAATTTACATAAAATCAAGATGATTCCACTCTGTAAAGGCTGTGAGTTTAAAAAAGAGATTACAATAATTGAGTATCCATCCCTCCACCAGTGCCCTTTCTCCACCACCAATGTTCCCAGTATCTCTCCCGCCATTGTATGACTGAAACATAATCACGAAAGTTTGTAAATCTGTAACTGTATCTCACAGTGATTCAATTAAAAAATAAAAAGAGGGATTACAGTGAAATTCTGTCCTGCTTTGGTTGTACTGACCAGGTCTGCAATGAAGCATGGTCCTGCAGTTGCTCAGGGTAGCCGCCTCTCCCAGCTTCACATTCCTAAGTTCCAAAAGTCTTAAAACTTAGAATTTTGACATAACGGTGATGTTTCAAAAGATAAAAATGCCTTTTTGCATTTTAGCTTGTTTTTTTTTCTCTCTCTCTTTATTTTGACAAAGCCCTCAAGAAAAACTGAAGTAGCTAGGCTTCAACGAGCCTCCGACAGACTCCATCCCAGTGCAGTGTGGCCAAGTGTGTCTTCATTTGCTATACTCACTACAACTCCCTGTTGATAAAGGAGGTCTTTCTTAAGGCAAGGAACTTCCGAAGCCACAGTGGGTGTCTAGAGCTGAAACCCAATCCTCTAAACCATGAGGCTATGTTCTTGACATCTGAACCTTGAGGTTATGTTCTTCAGCCATCGGTCTAGGGACAGATGCTGGTCTGCAGATATTGAAATATTGAAAACCACTGATTTACATCTTGGTTAATTGTGGTCCAGTATGCAGAACCAGTGGACCAGTAAATGTATGCTGGTACACAAATGTACGCTGGTTAAAAGGGAAAAAAAAACCTTCTTTTAAAAGGTTAAAGAACAACTGTTCTCATCTACTAGGCTAGCACTATAGATTAGAGAGGAAAAGAGTAGGATGGAGTGAAATAGAAGAAAATAATCATTCTCCACTCTCAAAACAACTCTTCTTCATAACGAAAGATAAGAGAGATTTTAGAAACTTCTGTAGGAGGTAAGGTCAACTAATCTATCTGGTACTTTCATGAAGAAAAAGTTCTATGGTTAAAATCATTAGGAAATGACTGCTTTGTGTTCAGAAACAACAAACTTCTATTGCTCCTCATTCTTTATTTCTTTCCTTTTGTATAAAAAAAAGCCTACTTCATGTTTACTTCTTATCAAAAATCCTTTTATCACTAAAAGTATGGGAAGTAAAAGAAAATAGGTCCATAAAGTTTCTACTTTCCTCATGGCTAATTGTCAGCCACTTAGAATATGTTTCTACGGAAGCATTTTAAGCTCTGTTCTTTTCTCAGAGCTATAAATAAGTATCAAATCAGCAGACATTTTCTTTATTCCCGTAGCCAGCCAGTGAGATTTTCTTAAACCTGGTAATTAAATACTTCTCCTCATGGCCCCCTGCTCTCTCCCTTCTGCCCTCCAACACTAGTGTGCAGAATCACTATCCTCATTATCAGTATCCCTGGTAGAAAGGGGGCACCCAGCACCACTTACCTGCTCTCAGGATCTCCTTACCTTCTCTTTTTTTCCAGGCCTCCACATACTGAGAACCATGTTTTCCTCAAATACTCTTTTCTCACCCCTGAATACTTGTTTTCCAATACATACGACAAGACCTCCATCTTCTTGGTAGTTGGGCTAAATGTGAGAAAAATAGGAAATAATTATGCTTGTTTAAAAAAAGAGGTATACAAAAGAGTCTCATGACTCATAAGTGAAAAATGAAATAGAAATGAAAATAGGAATGTGAGATCATTTTTCTCTAGGTGGTTGCCAGCAGATTCATCCTATCTTCACTCATCCCAGACTAACAAAAAGGAAAACAATACATGTTAGAAATAGAAGTCAGACACATTTTTCACTGACTTCCATTTTTTTCTTTTACCCTTATCACCATCACAAATTAGTACATCACAGTCAGTTAATTCATAAGAAATAAGATATTTAGGGCAGGAGAGATAGTACTTGCCTTGCACATGACTGACCCAGGTTGGATGCCCAGCATTTCACACAGTCCCCTGAACACCACTAGGAGTAATTCTTGAGTTCAGAGCCAGAAATAACCTCTGAGCATCACTGGGTGTGGCCCAAAACCAAAACGAAACAAGACAAAAAAACAAAGAGAGAGAGAGAGAGAGAGATAAGATATTTGAGGACAGAGAGCTCACACTGCAGATAAGGTGCCTGCTTCAAGTCTCAGCACCACATATGGTCCCCTAAACACAGAACAAGGAGTAAGCCCTGGGTGGACCCACAAAGTTGGTGTGGCCCAAAATAAAAATAAAAATAAATATTACAGCTGCTTGGAGTCTAGTACACTTTCTCAGCCTGTGCTTTGGAATCCCAATTGGCAATAATCTTTCTCGACCAGGGGTCAACAAAATTACCCAAAAGACACTGAGCAAATTAAGCCTGGACATCATACACAACTTCTTAACTCTTCCAGTGTAGCAAAACCAGGGCCAGACAACACTCAGACAATGTACATGCCTGTGACTCAGTGACACTCTATAAAAACAAACAGTAGACTAGATCTATTCATCATCCAGAGTTTGGCGAACCCTGTTCTGGAACATAGAAGAAAATGCCAATAATTAATGAAAATATTATTCCCAAATTACAAAATGTTGCTAATTAGGTGAGATTTATTATTCATATATTTTTCAGCTTTTCATGCTTAGTTCACATTTACATTTGATGGGTTTTTTTCCCCCACTTATTTTCACCTAAAACTGTTATATATAATCTGTCCTTCGGTTTGAATATTTTATTTGAATTTGACATGTGAGTAAAACTCAGTGACAATCCATTTAGGAAAATCTCACCAATTTTCCGCCCCCCAATTCTCTCTGTGATTCAGGCCCTGGAAAGTCACTGCAAAGTGAGCGGAGGCTATTCAGGCCTAAGGGATGTTTACCTCAAACACGAGAGTTATGATGATGTTCAGCAGAGTTTCTTCTTGGCAGAAACACTAAAGTAAGTAAAAGTTGTTCTGAAAGTATATGGCTTAGATACCCAGACAGGTCTTCTTTGTTAATGTCTTTGCCTGAACTCATTTTGACTGAACACAATTATGACTGCTTCAAAATGTCATTCTCCAGACAAAAGCTATAGATATGTCTTCCATCATTACAGTAGTTCTGCCTTAACCACAAGGAGACTGTCCCAAATCCAGAGATGTCAAACTCACAGATAGTACCAAACCTTGTACATATTTTATTTTCATACACACACATATTACATACATGTACCTATTATTAACTTGTAAAATGAACACAATAAGAGATTAATAACAGTAACTAATAAAATAGTTATAACACTACACTGTAGTAAAAGTTATGAACTGTGCCCCCTCAAAATATCTTACTGTAAACAATTTTCAGACCTCATTTTAGCATGGGTAACTGAAACCATAGAAAGTGAAAGAGTAAGTGGGCACTATTATATATAATTTTAAGACATGGAGTTTCTTTTTGATGCCCATACCCTAACACCAAAGCCCAGAATAGCTTCTTTACCCACATCCATTAAAATTTCCTCTCAGGATTTTGCCATTGCCCTTGGTTTGCCATAGTTCAAGGCATCAGTATGGCTTTTGCTGAGTTTTTGTGGTTTCACTGTCTGATGTGATCTCTCAGCTGTCATGTATTCTTGTTTCTCTCTTCAGATATTTGTACTTAATATTTTCGGATGATGACCTTCTTCCATTGGAACATTGGATCTTCAATACCGAGGCACATCTTCTCCCTATACTTTCTGCAAATAAAAAAGAAGTTGAAATCAATAAAAAATAAAGACATTTTATATTTTGCTCCATTTCCTTCACTGCATACCTTAATGATTCCTTTTCTGGTATTTGGGCACATGATGAATTTTTATTGATACATCTGTGATGATTCTACGTTCTAAAATTGTTTTGCAGTCTTTTATGTTTATTATCATAGGCATAGATGGGCCTAAGTTCCTTATGGTAGCCTTTATTATTCAGTCAGTGGAGCATAGGTTTTTGGCTTTTTTTTCCTCTAAACTATTATCTTTGAAGTTCATGAAGGAGTATTATCATTTTTATTAAACTCAGTAGAATGGTATACCAATGACCTCTTAATTGCCAATATGATTTGACTGCAAAACTTTTTCCTCCTCTATGAGGAGATGATGTCTGCTTTAAGCTGTAATGTTTTGCCATGTTGCAAAAAGCCATAATAATAAATTAAATATTAAAAAAGCTTTTCCCTTTCCAATTTCATGTTAATCTGGTTTGTCTATCCACCAGAGACAGATCATATAACTGTGACAGCCTCCTTATGCGGGTCTATCATTATTTGATAGAATGTCTTTACTCACATCGTAAATCAAATTAGAATGTCATCCCAAAAGGATCATCTTATGTTGACCTCATTTCATTGGAATGTCAGTATATTTTTGTTAGCTAATTATATTAGTATTTTATAATTTGAGAATTAGTCCTCAAATTTTATTTTAAATGCCTTGTGTCATTTCTGGATCATGTACTGGTAAATTTCTTTCACCCTCAACCATACAGTGAGGTGATCTTCCAAGTTTTACAGAGCTCTGCTATTACCAAATTACAAAGGTAGTATAACTTTTAGTATATTTTTCTTTTCGCTTTTAACTGAATCTATGAAGAAATTGGATCTCTCTAAAGAGAGTATTTCATAAGGCTTTTAGTTTTCACTTCATCTTTTGTTTCCTTGAGGTAAAAATGAATTTGCATTTGGGTCTGATTTTTCAGATTTGAAAAACACCTTTTTTCAAAAGTAGTAAATTGTTTCACTTCAGTTTTTAAAAGTAGGATTTATCTCTGAAAGCTGTGCCATTGTGTCTATTCAAAATCAATTGGGGGAAATTGAATAAACTTTTAAGCCAAATTAAAATACAGTATTATCTGATTAAATTCAACATAGCTTGTGAAAAATATATAGAAATACACAATCCTAGTATACATTGGGATCTCAGAATCCCAAGCACTGTAGCACTGTAGCACTGTCCTCCTGTTGTTCATCAGTTTGCGCAAGCGGGCACCAGTAATGCCTCCATTGTGAAACAGGATACTCTCGGTAGCTTGCCGGGCTCTCTGAGAGGGATGGAAGAATCGAGCCTGGGTTGGCCGCATGCAAGGCAAACACCCTACCTGCTGTGCTATCACTCCAGCCCCCAGAATTCCAAAATTGATAAAAATAATTCTTCAAAGCATCTTCAAAATAATTCTTCAGATATTTTCTTCAAATCATTTTCTTTAAATTCTTCAAATTATTTTATCTTCAAATTACATCAAAATAATTCTTTATTGGATTGTTCTGAGAATATCAATGGTTACCCAAGTATAGATTTAGTGACAATTTGTGTTTTATTTCATAGTGGTTCATATTTTATCTCCATTTCCATTAAAGGGCTAATTTGGTGAGGCACATATAGGGGTACAAAGACTTTAGGTACCTGCATTTCCATCCACCCATGGTCAGATTGACCAGTGCAACCCCATGGATTAGGCTGAAATATATGAAATTATTGTATTTGTAGTTTAAACCTATCCAGTGTTAGGCCAGAAATTTAACTTAATGGTAAAGCACTTGCCTTGCATGAGGAAAGCATTGGGTTCAATCCTAAGTATCACCACCCTCCCCTCCCCCCAAAAAAGAGGAAGAAACAACTGCCCAATATCAGCAATTTTGGTATACCTCAACCTAATATTTTTAATATAATTATTTTCTAATTATTTCCCTACAGATGTAATAGTCTTAGCTATTTTAGCTTTTGGAAGTATTTCAAGAAGATTTTCTTTGAAAAAAACAACTTATATGACCTGATCTTTTTCATTATTATCCATTGGTATATATCAATGAATAAATTAGTCTATGAAAAATGTATTATATCTTTATTGCCATACTACTGTGTTTCTGTGACACTAATAACTTTTTCCACTCATTTTTCCAGGTCACCTTATGAAGTAGAGTCCTTTTTCCTAGGACTTTACCAAGACAAAATACAAAGTATTATTGTCAAATTTGGGCATTATGTATTCAGATGGCAATTTTGATATGAATGTCTTTGGACTAACAATTCAAATTATTTTTTTACTTTTGTTTTGATTTGAAGAGCACAAATATTTCTGAGAAGATAGGATATTAAAATTAGGTTGTGAGTACACACAATGCATTATAAGCTATCATGTATATCCTGGTATAAACAAGCAAAGACATTGTAGTGCATATTGTTCTACCAATGGTAAGAATAAAAGTTTTTCAGCTCTATAACTTGGATTTTCTCACATGTATCTCAAAACACCAAAAATGTAAACAAAATAAGATATTATGGTGATAACATTTAAGTTTATTGTTTCTGTTCGTTGTTTTAAACAACTGAAGTCTTAGGTCGACACTGTCATTTGTTTTCAGCAAAACTGTGCAATTAAGTTTACATGTATATTTACATCCTAAGAGGTAGATGATTAAACTATATCTTAGTTTGTGTTTCTGCATATGTCCTGGGTATATTTTGGGCAATTAATATCATACATGTAAGTTCTAGGTACAAAAAACAATGATGTCTGCCAAGACTTCATATATATTGCCCATTCTTCACTTTTTGGTTTGTACATAAAGCCATCTTGTCATTTCAAACTTTATATATCTCTACTGTTATGATAAACATGATAGAATAACAAAGTTTTTAAAAACTATATTTGTAAAATTTCTCTATTGTGAATAAAGCCTTTTAATATACCTCCTATTTTGTTATGTTCTCCTCCTTTTAAGGTAAGTGCAGAGTTGCAAGTGGAATATTTCAGTCCTGAGAGTGATCCCCTGCTAGTGTCAGAATATTGACAGGACCTTGTGAATAGTTGACGTAAGTTGAGTTTATTTTTAATGGAGCTGTACAGTCATTACAGAGAAACTGTTGTCTATCTTATTTCAGCTGGACCAGAGATCTTTGGACTGGTGCAAAACATTGTTAAAAGAAACCATCAGGCAAACAATTGCTTGTGCATTCATCCAGACCATAAAGAATAATAATTATGGCCTTTTCTCCAGAAGGTAGAATTAGGAACCAGCTAAGTATAACCAGGAACTAGTCTAAGTTTGTTCACACTAATTAACTCTTGAGCCACTTCATCTTCCTCTTTTTCTCTTAAAAAAACAAAAACCAAAAAACTCTTTTGTACCTCCTGGCAATATTATTTGGTTTTCTACCTAAACCATTCCCCCAAATTATTACTCCTTTTATCCCATTGAATGTGTTTTTCCTTTTGTTTGCCTCCTTAACATTTACGTTGATTTCAAACCTGGAGAGAAGCCAGTGGTTAGGCATCATTCCTTGCACTGCCATCTGACCTGTACTCAATTTCCATCACCCCAAAGGTCCCATGGAAATCATTGACTGTGGACCCTCCTCTACCAAAAAAAACCCTTTAGATTGCAAATGATTTTGCTGACAATCTGTTTATCAAATATCTTTGTTAAAATACAAAAGACCTTTGATTTTTTTAAGGCCAAGAGTTTTTCAAGTTCATATACTCTTTATAGAATGTTTCATGCATTTTGATTCACTATTCTTTGTCACTCTCTCCCTCTATTTTCCTGATTTATTTACCACTTCACTCAGGTCTCTGCTCAGCTATCAAATCAACTCACCTGTGCCGTCCATAACAAGCTGATGTAAAATTTCCCATCACCCTTTGTTCCTTACACTACTTTTTCCTCTACTTAGAGAGTTTATTATATTACACATGTATTTATTTGTTTACTGTCCATCTCATAATTTAAGCCCCAGGAAAACAAATGATTTGATCTTATTCCTCCATGCTCTGGGGCCAAAGCAACATCTAGCATTTGGTAGCACACAGTGAATGTTTAATAAATGGGTAAATAAATAAACCTTATTTTAGGGCCTTACATTATTTGTACCCACCTTTTAATCAGCAGCCTTTTTCAAAATTCTACCCATATTATGTAATACACTGGTTTTCAAATAGATAACATTAAGAGCAGGCAATTTTTTGTAAGTAGATTCCCAAGTAATTGCAGGGGAGGGCAGGGAAGACCACTCCTGGCTATCCTCAGCCACCTGGGCTGGTGGTTCACTGTTGCTCAGGGACTTCCAATATCCTCAGGAGGCATGGGGCGGTTATGTTGTGCTGGAGGATGGAGCCCAGGTCATTCATGCAAGACATGTGCCCTAACCCTTGTACTATGTCCTCACTACCTGGGCAAAAAGGTTTTTTTTTTTCACTACCTATAGTCAATTCAAAGAAAGTTATCATAAAATCATGATTGGAATCAACTTTAGACCCACATAATTTTTTAAAAGCACATTCCATTAAGGTACCATGTATGAACCTTTGTAAAATCATACCCCAATAAATAAATCATTATTTTTAAATGTATTTATGTATGATATTCTTTTTATTTGTTATATCAAACATCTTCAACAGAAATTGAATGAGATTAGAAATTCTACAACTTTTTAAATTTTTTTTTTAATTTTATTGAATCACCATGAGAAAGTTACAAGTATTCATTTTTGGGTTACAATCACACAATGATCAAACACCCATCCCTTAACCAGTGCACATTCCCCACCACCAATCTCCCCAGAATACCCCCCTTCCCCACCCTCTCCCTGCCTCCATGTCAGGCAATATTCCCCATACTCTCTACTTTTGGGCATTATGGTTTGTAATACAGACACTGAGAAGTCATCATGTTTGTTCCTTTATCTATTTTCGGCACACATCTCCCATCCCGACCAATTCCTCCAGCCATCATTTTCTTAGTGATGGATCCTTCTCTATCTAGCTGCCTTCTCCCCTCCGCTCGTGAGGCAGGCTTCCAAATATGGAGCAATCATCCTGGCCCTTGTATCTACTGTCCTTGGGTGTCAGCCTCATGTTATGATATTCTATACTCCACAAGTGAGTGCAGTCCTTCTCTGTCCCTCTCTTTCTGACTCATTTCACTTAACATAATACTCTCCATATCTATCCACTTATAAGCAAATTTCATGACTTCATCTTTCCTAACAGCTGCATAATATTCCATTGTGTAGATGTACCAGAGTTTCTTTAACCAGTCGTCTGTTCTTGGGCACTTGGGTTGTTTCCAGATTTTGGCTATTGTGAATAGTGATGCAATGAACACATAGGTACAGATGTCATTTCTACTGTGCTTTATTTGCACCCTTGGGACATATTCCCAGAAGTGGTATTACAGGGTCATATGGCAGCTCAATTTATAGATTTTGAAGGACTTTCCAGATTGTTTTCTAAAAAGGCTGGACCAGTCAGCATTCCCACCAACAGTGAAAGAGTGTCCCTTTTTCCCCACATCCACGTCAACACTGGTTGCTTTTGTTCTTTTGAATGTGTGCCAGTCTCTGTGGTGTAAATCATTATTTTTTAATTTTTTTTAAGTTTTATCATTTGATTAACCTTGTATTATTTGGTACGATTTGATTACACCATCCTTGCCTTACATATATGTGTGTGTGTGTGTGTGTGTGTGTGTGTGTGTAGCATCATGCAAAGAAATTGTTTTGTTTTGTTTTTTTAATTTTTTGTTTTTGTTTTAAGTCTAATTCTTTCATTTTAAATGTAGTCAAATAAGAACAATCTGAATTTTATTATTTGCAGCACAAATAGTTTGAATTTGCTCGATTGGTAATAATGCCTTATAATAATTTTAAGTACGATTTTAGCTATACAACTTGTCACCCACACAAAGATACAGATTAGTAATGAGTACATCTGATTTCTGATAATTTTATGCAAACAGTTGATTACAATTTTAAAGTCATGTTGAAATATAATTTATTTATCTACTTGACATTCTAGCTCCCGAAATCATGACTGAAATGTAAGGATAGAGAAAGGAATCTTATTTAATCTTTTTAACGAACGTAATGGGACAAAGACTAATTTCTGATTTTTCAATGGCTTGTTCCATCAACACTGGCCAACACATGAGTCATAATAATCTTCAGGAA